CAACTGTAGACAGCAGAGATAGTGTAATAAGAGAGTGGAATAGGGCAGAGGGCTAGACATGGGGTAAAAAGCATATATATGAAAGTAGAAATGGAATATTATGGATAACATGCATGATTAAGCCACTATGCAGTTTATTCTAGATGGGAAACCACATTTAGTATGTTGTGATGATGCTCAGGGAATGAATGTAAATTAATAAAAAAAATTCAGAAGAAAGAAAGCATTAAAAATACCTATTTGATGACTGCAGTAAGCTATATAGCCCTAGCTAGGTGCTACTTTATAGTATCTTCATTCTATTCACTGAGGTTTATGCCTAAAGTCAGACTTGTGTTCATGGATATGTATATTTCAGCTGTGCTTGCTGTTGAAAACATTTAGATTTATTAAGATATTTAGTGAAACAATAAAATGTGGGGGAAAAACAGTATAGAAAGCAACATAGATACAAGAGACAGTGTGGGAGGAGAGTGGGAGATGGCAGAGGGTCAGAGATAGGGAATCAGGGGGAAAAAAAAGCGCAAAACATACAGAAAACAAGAAATGGAAAATTATTTGCTGACAATAACATGTTTGTTGATGTGCTTGATTGAGACAATATACAGTGTACTCTGGATGGAAAATCTCATTTTGTATGCTGTAATGATGTACAGTGAATTAATGCAAATAAATAAATTAATTAATTTTTTAAAAAAGTATTTGTTTTAAAATTGCTATAGGGAATGTGTGCTCATCAGAGAGAGACAGAGGGAGGGGGGTTTGGGAAGCAAGAAAGCAAGACACCAGGTCCAGAACTCAAGCCGCGGTCAGCCACGTTTTGAGTTTAGTACCTTAATTACCACACCTTAGCTGGCCCCTATAATTTTTTCTTAATCTCACAAATTCTTGGAAAGCGTTTTTTGCCATACACTTGGAGACTAATATATAATTATTGTGTATCACAAACATATGTTTTGATGCAATGCTTCTCATTATCATAAGAGTAAACACAGACAAGATGCTGCCATCAAATCTTGGGCCAATCCCTACCTACTTACTGATGTGGATCTCCCAGTAAAAAGGCTATGATGTATTTATAAAAACAAAGTTTCCATAATACTTTAAGATACATGCCATACTTATATTGAGAACAAAATGTAATACCTCCTATATTCTGCTCCTCTGAAAAGGTTTAGAGGGTTTCTCCAGACCTTGCATTCTGAAAAACAAGGAGAAAAAAAGAAAAATGAGACACTTTAATCAAATGAAATCCTAATTTAACCAGTATTTATTGTCTGCCCACTGTATGCTGTGGCGCAATGGTAGCCACAGATGATACAAAACTGCATAAGCATGACATGGCCGATGGTGATTTGAGTCCTAGACCTGGTAGCTTGAGTTATGCCACGCACTTATGTGTGCATGCCCCAATCCCAAGAGGAAAATGGAGAAGGGACTACTGTGTGGTCATCTCCCCTAGGGAGCAATTTCTCACTTTCCCTCTCTCTGTCTCTGGAGAACACACACACTCTCGGGCAAAAACCTTAAAAATAAATAAATAAATAAATAAATAAATAAATAAATAAATAAATAAAAGCATAAGCACACCTCACCCTTGCTTATTTCTGTCTCCATAGCATTTGGTCCATAATTCAATTAGAATACTTACCATATAATGTGATTAGCTGTTTAGTTTTGTTTCCCCTTTAAAACATGATATCATTCTGATATTCCTGGAGCCTGGCACAGCATCTGGAACTGACTCGTTTAATTGAATTAAATATAGCATGAGAGTTAGTCATGTAAACAACAGCCTAAATGTGTGATAAGTGCTACAGTAGAGATATGTTCTGTTCCAAGAGAAAAAGAAAGTAATTAATTTTGCTCTGGGGAAATCAGGGAAGACTTTTGAAAGGAAGTGACACTGAACTGACATCGAATTGCTGTGAAAGATGAAAGAAGGGGGCCAGCTGGTGGTGGGGTGATTAAGATGGCTGGATATCACATGGCAGGCTGTGTGCAGTTTGAGTCTCAGACTCAGCTTGAAAAACATGTGGGGTACACATGCATGTGTGCCTAAAATCCTGAGAGAAAAATGGAGAAGGGATTATGGTGTGGCCATATCACCCCCCCTGGAGGATTGATTTATCTCTCTCTCTCTTTCTCTCTCTCCCTCTCCTTCTTTCTCCTCAGTGAGCACATATATCTTGAAGCAAAACTTTAAAGAACTTAAAAAAAAAAAAAAAAAAAAAAACCAGAGAATAGAGAAGGTTGCCAGATGAAGAAGAGTCTAAGCAGAGGAAGAATTGTAACTCCCCACAGCATGGCTAACCTAGAGTACAAAGTAGGGGGTAGGAAGCAGAGCTATGAATAAGGCTAGAAAAACAGCTTGGAATAAATGGATGGAAGAAGCTTATAAATATCATACTAAGGAGGTTAGATACTATCCTTAGCAATCAGAAGCTATCAATGATTTGTAAGCAGAAAAATAATATCAAATCTTTGTTTAAATAAGCAGTCCTCAAAATATGATTAATGAAACTGCAACATCTCTTTTCACAATAGATCCAAGACATTATTTGCCATTTTAACTGTGTTGATATGAATTCAGCTACATGACCTTCAGAGTGAGGGTTTCCTTACATTTTGTGTCCTGGGCACTTCCTCTGTCTTATCCTAATTCTGCAAAGTTGAACTGATGGTACAAATCGATATGGACAAAACTGTCAGTACTACAACACAAGACAGTGACATTCCAGTGTACTAATGACTATTGGACTCTTCACCCGCACATCCTTATAGCAAAGACAAGGCAAATTTATTTTAAACATCATACCAGGTGTGATGGTGGTCTCTAGTAACAGCAATTGTTTTGTGAGCTGAATTTTTGTCATGTAACACCACTTTTACTCGAAAGAGCCACAAACAGACAAGCTTATGGTTATTTAAAGATTCTAGGCAGAGATTTTCTTTAACATGAACAAAGACAATCTATCAAGTTTAAAAAGGAAAATTAACAGTATTTGCTATCAATTATTAAATTTGAGTTTCCAAATAAATAATATTATTTTTAGAAAACCTCTATCTGCTGGGGTCAACAGGTGGCATGATGGATAAGGCACTGGGCTATCACATGCCCAAATGCGGTTTGAACCCTAGACCAGGTGGCTTGATAAATCACACTGGGTGTGTGTATAAACCCTTGTTCCCAAAATCCCAAGAGGAGAATTGATTGCAATGATGATCATCTCGCCTGGGAGGTGACATATGCCCTATGGCAAAATCCTGGGGGAAAAAAACACCTCTATCTGCTACCATGAGCCTGGCAATTACACAGTAATTTTCTGTGAGACTAGTGGTAATATTAACAGATAAAATTTTCCTATTATTCAATAAAATGTATCAACACTTAAGATATGCATAGCTCAATGAACAAGAATTGTCCAAATCACTAATGCATAATGCTTTAAAATTATCCAAAACTATCCTTTAAAATGCAAGACATGCCAATGGATTTTAATGTAATAGAGCATGCAAAGTTTAGATTTCACACTGTAACTGCTTTCAGCAAATATCTCTAAGCAAGTTTTAATATAGTAGCAAAAAAAATCCTAGTTTTCTGAGAAGGTTATTAAAATACTCTTCCTTATTCCAACTACATATCTGTGTGAGACCAAATTTTCTTCATATACTTCAATCAAAACAACACATCACAACAAACAATGTAAAGGCAGATAAAAGCATAGGATATTGGGCCAGCCTGTAGCATGGTGGTTAAGGCAGCTGGACCCCATATGACCAGTTACATAGTTTGAGTCTTGGACCTAGTGGCTTCAGAAACATCTGGCCCATGTGAGTACACACCCAAAATCTCAAGAGGAGAAATAGGAGAATGGGTGTAGCATGATCATTCCCCATTGGAAGAGCACACACCCTCTCTCTTCCTCTCTCCCTTTATGTCTCTCTCTGGTAGACGTATGTACCCACTGGCAAATTAAAAACAAAAAGAATAAGCTGTCATCTATTAAACTAGACATTAAAGAGATTTAAACAAATGCCCAAGAGAAAAATGGAGGAGAAGGGATTGCGGCATGGCCATGCCCCCTGGGGGGTGATTTCTCGCTTTCTGTCTCTCTGTGTCTCTCTGCCTGGCTGGCTAGCGCACACGCCTATAGCAAAAACCTCTCAAAAAAATTTTTTTTTGACTAACTTTTAAAGCTCAATTAAAGCATTTCATTTGTGAAATATTTTGCGGCCTTCCTTCCAAGAAATGACCACTCCCTGTCTCTCCTGTCACCACAATATCTTATATACGGCTTTTGCTTTCAACTTATTTATATGTCTGTATCTTTTTCTATAATTTGCCAGAGGATGTGTGTACTCACTAGAGACAGAAAGAGAAGAAAAGAAAGCACGCCCTCTTGAGGGATGGTCATGCCACAATCCCTTCTCCTCCATTTCTCCTTTCTGTTGGAAATTTGGCAAGCATACACGTGTGCCTAAAGTGATTTCAAGTTGCCGGGTGGGGGAACTCAAATCCCCCAGTCGGCCATGTTGGATCCACCTGCCTTCACCACCATGCCACCAGCTGGCCCTATATGTCTGTATCTTAAGCAATGTCCTTAAGGTTATTTTCATTCTTACTACGAATGGTATATTCAGACTTACAACAGGGAATAAGGTAATATAAATACATTATTGTTGTAATTATTTATATACTGAATTCTGAGTTTCTTTATTTATTTTTTTTTTTTTTGTGAGAGATTTTCGCTATAGGGCGCGTGTGCTCGCCAGACAGACAGAGAGAGACATAGAGACAGAAAGCGAGAAATCACCCCCCAGGGGGGATGGTCACGCTGCAATCCCTTCTCCTCCATTCTCCTCTCAGGATCTTGGGCACGCACACGCGCCCGGCGTGAGTTTTAAGCCACCGGGTCCAGGACGCGAACCACGGTCGACTATGTGGGAGTCCAGAGACATAGCCATTATGCTAACTGCTGGTTCCCAATTCTGAGTTTCTTGAGGACAACTTAAGTCATATTAATCTTAATATGTCTTATTTTTAAGAGTTCTATAATTGCTTCATGAACAAGGAGAAAGAAGAAGAGGAAAGAAAATTATCATTATTCTTGTTGTACTCTAGAATAGCTGTCAACCCCATTCCCCCTATTCCTGGTCATGCTAACTCTGCTTAAATGGCACTTTCTTGGGACCAGCAGATGGTGTACTGGTTACTTTGCTGGACTCCCACATTGTCAACCATGGTTTGAGTCCTGGACCCAGTGGCTTAAAACACACCAGGCACATGTGTGTGGGAGCCTAAGATCCTGAAAGGAGAATGTTGGAGAAGGGATTACAGCATAGCCATCCCCTTGGGGGGTGATTTCTCACTTTCTGTCTCTCTCTGTCCCTCTCTGGCAAGCACATGCATCCTATAGCAACAAGAACTCTCTAAAAAAAAAAAAAAAAAGGTACTTTCTCAGGGGCTTTGCCTGACCACATCTAAAAAAATGCCAGCAATTGCATCCAGATAGTATTTTTCTGCTAAACTAACATAACTCTAGTGGATAGTTTTATTGAACAGATGAGACATCATGGGAATCTCAAGGAATAAACTCATTTGTATTATAACTATATAACTATCACTTATACCAAACAAAAGAAAAATATATAAAAATATAGTTTTTATTTGGTTTTGAAAATTTTACTTTCCCAATTATATATCATTAATAATATTTACTTCCTATTATTGGATATATACAGAGTTACAGTCAATAATTAAAAGTATAACAGATTAATCCATACATGAAGAACTGAAATCCATTTTCATAGTTCTGGAAGCTAGTGAATGCCTACTTTCTAGTTCATAGATAGTGCCTTCTTGCTGTATGCTCACATAGTAGAAAGGGCAACCAGCTCTTTGGGCCCTCATGACCTAATCACCTCTCAAAGGACCCATCTCCTAATACTATCACATTGGTGATTGGGTATCAATATATAAATGGAGGATATGGGGGGCACACAAACATTCAAATCATTGTTGTTATTGTTTTGAGTTTCTATCTCTCACAGCCAAACTCCATCTTAATTATATAGCTCTGAAAACACATTTAAAAAAGTAGTTACCTGACAAATTCTGTCTGCTGGTTTCGCTTTCTCTCTTGCTAGGAGAACCTGGCTCTGAAATGCTGCTCTCTGTTCCTCCCATTAGTGGTCGCAAATGACTTACAGATACTTGTTCAATAAAAGATGTGCCATGCTTATGGAAGTACCACCATTCAAATACCTATAAAAAATAGAAAACATCCTTCACTTAAAATAGACTTCATTAGCAAATATATGCACTCTAAACATTCTCTAAATATCTTTCTGTTCAATTCAGCATTTTAAATGCATTCTCCCCCCAACACACACAAAAGAACAATGGCAAAAAAAGGAAAAAAAAAGATACCCCAATAACACATTCCATGTGAAAGTAAGATACCTTTTTAATAGTTTTGTCTTGAAATTTAGACATGCTTAGGTAAAAATATGTATTTGCAATAAAGATTAAAAACCATGCATGCCCAAAATCTTAAGAGGAGATGGCAACACTGGCCATCCCCGTGTGTGGGGGTGATTTCTTGCTTTCTCTCTGGTTTTTTTTTTTTTTTTTTTCTGTCTCTCTGTCAAGTGTATGCACCCTATAGTAAAAATCTCTCTTGAGAAAAGGGAGAAATGCTTCATCTATAAATAACTGTTATGATACACTGTCATTTTACTCTACCTGTAGCATAATTAAAAACAGTTTTAAAACAATTAGCACAAGAGATCAGGTACTAGACTAGGATCAGAATGCCCATGTTTATCTTTCAAATCAGTCTTTTATTAGCTGCATGTTATGTGCAAACCACTTAATCACTAACATCTCAGAGCCTTGGTATCCTCATCTATTAACTGTGGTTAACAAGAATTATAAGTGGTTTTGTTTTGTTTTGTTTTGTTTCTAAGAGAGAGATTTTCACTATAGGGTGTGTATGCTTGCCGGAGAGACAGAGAGACAGAAAGTGAGAAATCACCCCCCCAAAGGGGATGGCCATGCCACAATCCCTTTTCCTCCATTCTCCTCCCAGGATCTTGGGCACACATGCATGCACAAGCACTCATGAGCTTTAAGCTGCCAGGTCCACGACTTGAACCGTGGTCAACTACATGGGAGTCCAGTGACATTATAGTTATGCCATCTGCTGGTCCCAGAAGTTACTTTTTGATTCCCAGTATTTGACATTATTAACATAGACTAAGAGTCCAATTGATTCCCATATTGAATCATTTAAAAATTATGGACAGTCATAGTGGTACAGCTATAATACAATACTGTAATGCTGAGGCCACATGCAAAAGTCCTGGGTTCATGCTCCAAGGTCTCACTGTAAACAGTGGGTGTGAGGAAATGCCTGTGATCCTGGCTGACTGGGGTTAGAGGAGACCACAGCATGAGGACTGTACTGGGGGTACATGCCTCTCTCTCTTTCTGTCTCTCAGAAAAAATAAACTTTTTTTAAAAATCAGGATATTCACTTGTTTCCATAACTTATCAGTTATAAAAAGAGGATTCAAAAGAAGCTCTGTGCTAAATTAGCAGGAATTTTAGCATTTGGACACTCCAATCAATCTTCCCAACTGCTTTTGCATGGCTCATGTGATTTTTGGCTTAAATGATTAATTCCTCAGGGAACTATTCCTGATTCCACAGAACAGGTAATTGTGTTATGCACTTCCATTAGAAATTTTCCTTACAGAGTAATCTTCTAGCTTGTAATAATTGTTGCTATTCTTCAAGCCTCCAAGTACACTTACACTCTCCCTTCAGGTAGAAGTGACATTTTCTCTCTCTCTGTTTTTTGCATTGTGTTTTCCAGAGGATGTGTGCATTAGCCAGAGAGGTGATGAGAGAGGGAGCAGAAGGCACCCCACAACTGGTTGTAGTTGTGCCAAAATTCCCTCTGCATTTCTCTATCCTGCAGGAATTTGGGCATGTGTGCACACGTGTGCACACACACCCACCCATTGTGTTTCTCAAGCTGCTGGGGCTGGGATTCCATCTGCACAGTTGGCCATGTGGAATCTGGCTCCCTTAATCATAGGCAATGGAGTTGGCTCCCTCCTTCAGGTTTTTTTGTTTTGGTTTTCTTTGGTTTTTGCCATAAGGTCATGTGTTCACCAGAGAGAGGCAGAGAGTGAGAAGAAAAGTGAGAAATCACCCCATGGCAGATGGCCACGCCACAATCTTTCTTCTCCATTCTCCTATCAGGATTTTGGGCACATGCACATTCTTGTGATTTTCAAATCATCAGGTCCAGGATTGAACCACAGTCAGCCATGTGGGAGTCTAGCACCTTAACTACCATGCTATATGCTGGGCCTCTCCTTCAGGTTTTTAATAAACAAACTCACTATTTTGGTGAGATTTTGTCTTGCTACCTTAGTGTAAATTTCAACCTTCTTCCCTGATACATTTTCCCTTAATTTGTCATAAGACACTTGCTGGAGAAAGAGAAAAAGAGAAAGATGAAAGAAAACAAGCACTAGCCCCCAGGGGGAATGGCCACATTGCAATCCCTTCTTCTCCATTCTCTTCTTGGGAGGTACATACATATACCCAGCATGTCTTTGAAGCCACTGGGTCCAGGACTCGAACCATGTATTTTGCCATGTGGGATCCAGCCACCCCAACCATCAAGCCACTGGCTGGCCACTCCTTTGATACTGTATATGTCCTCTGTTTTGTTTTTTACTCTTAGCACTTACCATTAACAGTAAGAACATGCTATTTGTTTTACTTATTTATCTTTTATTATCAACCCCCCCCCAACACAATGTAAGTTCCATGAAGACAGGGATATTTTTCTGTTTTTCTCACTATAGTAAATCTAATGCATAGAAATGGTGCATGACACCCAATAAGCACTCAACAGAAGAACTGTCAAATGAATGAGTCAATATCCAAATCACTTGTAGACTAAATTCAATCAGGCCAGAATCTGTTTTGACTGCTTACCATGATATTCCTGATATCTTTAAGTGTCTGAGACATAAAAGGTTTTGTCTACATATTAGTTGAATGAATAAACCAAGGTTAGTATTCTATGTTTTACCATAAAATTAATTTAATATCTTCCGCTTCTTATTTATGCACAATTTCCCTTAAAAAGTTAGTTCTGCCAAATGTAGTAGATAAATGCATTATTTTATTTGAAAAATAAATATATCGGGGCCAGCAGGTGGCGTGGTGGGTAAGGGTGCTGGACTCCATATGGCTGACTGTGCCAGACCTGGCAGCTTGCTTCCTCACTTTTTCTCTCTCTCCCTGTCCCTCTCTGGTCAAATTAAAATAAAATAAATGAATTTAAAAAAGAGAATATATCTACAACTGCCTAAGATTATAATATTTATAAAACTATTTTAATATGACCACAAATAGGACACAACACTAAAAATAAAAATTGGTTTCTAAACTCTATGAATGTTATTTTTTGCTTCAATAACTATTAGGACAAATATGCTACACAAGTGCCAAAAGTATGCAGAAATTTTACACTATGTGTTGCCTTCTGACTAAACCCTACAACAGTCATAGGAATGTCCTAGAAAACCAAGGTATAGCATTTTTTCTATTATCTCATAGATGTTTTATGCTTGTCCAAAATGGCTTCTCTTTCTGCTCATTTTTATTGAGTTAGCAAGATGTTAGTCACCACCAAATGTGGCCACTGCTTGGCCTCTACCATATGTTTTACGAAGAAGTAGAATGAAACTTATTTGAAACAACCAGAAGAAATAATACAAGCACAAATTGTTTATGTGGCAAAAAAAAAGACAAGATTTATATTGAGTAATTTTTTAATTTTATGATATAGAGCATGTGCATGAGAGAGAGAGAGAGAGAACATGCATTCAAGAATGAGGGAGGAGGGACCAGCAGTTGGCGTAATGGCTATGCCGCTGGACTCCCATGTAATCGACCGCAGTTCGTGTCCCGGACCTGGTGGCTTAAAACTCACGCCGGATGCGTGTGCATGCGTCCCCAGGATCCCGGGAGGAGAATGGAGGAGAAGGGATTGTGGCATGGCCATCCCACCTGGGGGGTGATTTCTTGCTTTCTGTCTCTCTCTGTTTGTTTGGAGAGCGCATGCGCCCTATGGCAAAAACCTCTCAAAAAAAAAAAAAAAAAAAAAGAATGAGGGGGGAAAGGAAGAAGAAAGATAGAGAAAAGTACCCTTGACAGGGTCTCCTCACGCCTCAATCCTCTTTCCCCATCTCTCCAGCTCCTCAGGATCCTGGGTACACCTGATTTTTTTCAGCCTTTAAGTTAATTTTTAACATAAACGAACAATGGTAATGGTAATTACTAATGCTTATCAAGAGCTTTCTATGAACCAAGCACTGTGCCAAGTCTTTCATATACACTGTCATTTAATCTCATAATATCCAATTTATACAGATGAGGACACACATTCTAAGGTTAAATAACTATCTCTAGAGAGCAAGCAGGTAGTGCGGTAGCTAAGGCGATGGACTCCCACATGGCTGAATACAGTTCAAGTCCCAGACCTGGCAGGCTGAAAATCACACTGGATGCATGTGCATACATGCCCAAAGTCCCAAGAAGAGAATAGAGGAGAAGGGTTTACAACCTGGCCATCTGCCCTGGGGAGTGATTTCTCATTTTCCCTCTCTCTGTCTCTCTCCATCCAGAGAGTACAAGCCCTACGGAAAAATCACAAAACAAAATTATCATCTCTAGTTCACACTGCTGGGAAGTGGAAGATTGGAATTCTTATTCAGGTTTGCCTGATTTCAAAGTTTCTAACCATTTCACCAGATCGCTTTCCAAATATACTTCCGTGTACACATCTATGTGATTATATGTGTGTGTAAGTTGGTAAGTCCAGGTGATAAAAATAAAGTATAAACACAATAATCTTTGCTAATAAAAACCTACAACATTGCAAGGGTAATGACACAGTTTCTCTTGAAACATCATTTGAATTTCCTAATTTTTGTATATTTAAAATCCTACTTTAGAGGCCAACACATGGCATGGTGGTTAAGGCACTGGACTGCCACATGGCTGACTGTGATTCCAGTCCCAGATCAATGGCTTGCTTTCTCACTTTCCATACCAACCCCCCTTCTCGCTGTCTCTCTCTCTCTTGCTATCTCTCTCTAGTGAATCCACGTGCCCTACAGCAAATTTTAAAAGTAACAACAATATAAATAAAATAAATTTTAAAAAAGTCCTATTTTAAAAAGAGTAACAATAGAGTTTTAAGTGGTTTTAGACATCACGTGTAAACATACATACATAAGTTATTTCTCTTTAAAATGGGGATGTTACAATTTACAAGTTTATGTGACTTATCTTAAGTTATCAGCTAGTAAGTAGTACAGTCAAGACTCGAAATTGTATCTTCTGGTTCTAAAATCAGTGCTTTTTCTACTACATCTGTTGTTTGGAAATAGCTTATTTTCTTTATTTAGACTTCTGTGTACTATTAACTAAACATGCTAAAACATGCCTAATTATGAGTGACATGTTTTGTGATTATAAATCAATTGTGAAGCTCTTATATTAACATATGGTTTCTATCTTTAATTCCCCAATAGCTTTTTTTTTAATTATTAAAAAAAAAAAATCCCATTCTTGTTTGGCATTTTACTTTAACAAATAGTCAATGTTCCTACTTTTAGAAAAAGGTCCAATACAAATGCTATTATTTCTATTATAGCTGGAGAGCACCACCTAGAGATGAGAAAAAAGAACCAAAAAAAAAAAAAAAAAGGAAAAGCTTCATTGGCCTACCATGCATGGTGTAATAGTTGAGATTATAATTTGTGGCAGTATTTTTCCAAATCATACACTAAAAAATACTAGGTTCTAGGGATGTTTTTGAGAATTATGAAATTTTTACACACTTTTAAAAACTAAAAATAGTATCTTTTTCAAGGAAAAGTTCAAAGCTAAACAGGTTTGTTATGTGACTTCTCATAATGATAGCCAGAATTCATTTAATGCTCACTCTGAGCCCAGCCACCATGTTACAAGCTTTAAAACATATTATCTCATTTAATTCTCATTATTGTTGAAGTAGATACTATTATCATCTCCAGTTTACAGATAAGTAAACTAGGACTTGAAAAAATTACAGAGTGAATTCAAGACACGTAAACTTTAGTCTGCCCAATGTAGTAAAAAATAAAATATTACGAAATGTTATATAAAATTGATATATTTGAATGTGCACATTCACATTCTCTTGAAATTGTTTGAAAAGGTGGCAGAGTTGGTAATAATAGGCCCAAGTCTACATGGCAACAATTAGCTTTCACTCCATTTAAAAGGGGCATGCGCTGCCCAGATTCTTCAGTCCTCAAATTAAATAAGGAATCTAATTCTTACACACTGCCTAATTTACTAATTTTTGTTACCAACCTGGGCCATGCAGATTTAATTTTCAATTTACCCAAGACCTCCCCTGCTACCCTATGTGTAAATAAATTCTTTAATATGAAAATAATACTGCAAATCTCTAAAAGTAGAAGAAAAGATTCAATGTTATCCAAACTTGCTTGAATAGGTAACCTCCCTTTTTTTAAATGCTAAATTCATTTCAAAATGCTCATCTATAAGTGATTATCATTATGTAACCTTATAAAGGATCTTTAGGTAAACAGCAAAACATGAATGAAGGAAATGGAAACTACTTACAAATATTAGTCCTGATATCAAAGAAGATGTCCCTGTAAGTGCCACATAGAATTTGGGTGTCAATGAATTTAAAAATATTGTCACTGTTAAAAGGAAAAAAAAAAGGTTTTAAAAAATGTGAACTTAAAGTACTTACGTTACAAATATACAGGTATCTTTACAAGTAAGGGGACAAAAGTAGTATTAATAACTAGTATGAAATTAGAGAAAGTTGGCTTTTTTGTTGTTGTATATTGGTCATAGGGCACTTGTGCCAGACAGACAGAGGGAGACAGAGACAGAAAGCGAGAAATCACCCACCAAAGGGGATGGTCACACCACAATCCCTTCTCCTCCATTCTCCTCTCGGGATCTTGGGCACACGCACACACACGCACCCAGCGTGAGTTTTAAGCCACCGGGTCCAGGACACAAACCAAGGTCGACTACACAGGTCCAGCGACACAGCCATTACGCTAACTGCTGGTTCCCAAGCCACCAGGTTTGAGGTTAGAACCAAGGTCAGTCATGTGGAAGGGAGTCAAGCTCCTGCACCACCTGCTGGACTCATAATTTATCTTTAAAAAAAATTTTTTTAAAGAATTACTTTATTTCATTTGTTATTATTATCACTATTACTTGTTTAATTTGACTAGAGAGAGACAGAGATAAAGGGCAAGTAGGAAAGCAAGCCTCCCGGTCCAGGACTCAAACTGGTCAGCCACTTGGAATCCCAGTGCCTTAACCACCACCGCTGCCTGTCAGCTCCCATCTTTTTTTTTTGGAGAGATTTTCACTGTAGGGCGCATGCGCTCGCCAGACAGACAGAGAGAGACATAGAGACAGAAAGCGAGAAATCACCCCCCAGGGGGGATGGTCACGCCGCAATCCCTTCTCCTCCATTCTCCTCTCGGGATCTTGGGCACGCACGCACACACGCCCGGCGTGAGTTTTAAGCCACCGGGTCCGGGACACGAACCACGGTCGACTACGTGGGAGTCCAGCGACATAGCCATTACACTAACTGCTGGTTCCCTCAGCTCCCATCTTTTTAAAATTTTTATATGAGGGGGTGGGACAGAGAGAGAGAAAACATCCTCACAGGGGCAAATGGTCACACACAATCCCTTCTCCTTCACCTCTCCCACTTTTCAGGATTTTGAGCTTGTATCCACACACGCCTGGCATGTTTTTTAAGCAGTGGAGTCCAAAAGTTGTAATTGAAAAAAAAGCTACTATAAATTCCCATTGCATCCTATCACACTTTAAAAATGCACTCACACATGTAAAGGTAGGCTTTTACACTGTTGATAAATTAAATAAACAGCAAATCAAAAATAAGATTTTTTTAGTTTGCTTTTCAGAGTAAAACTAAAGCACTTATAGGTCATAATTTACACAAGAACTTTTACCAATCTATAAAGAAGTTAAAACAAGTAGAAGGAGGTTAAAAACCACTCCTTAATTATTTTGATGTGCTATAAATCAGTGTTTTGAGTTAGAGGGAAGAAAACAGTATATGTATTTGGTATGTCAGCAACAGAGACAAAATAACTTGAAAAGCAAAAACTGAGAGCTCTCTGCATCTGTAATCCTCGGTCAGATTCTTCACTTCAAATAATTATCTCATAAATACTTTGGGTTTTAAAAAGTAATAAAAATCTATGCAGTTGCCAGGTGGCGGTGGTTAAAAACGCTGGATTCCCACAAGGCCAACCATGCTTGAAGTCCTGGACCTGGTGGTTTGCTTTCTCACTTTCTTTCTCTCACTCTCTGTCTCTCTCTGGTGAAATTGGAAAATAATAATAAATACAGTTCAAATGAATCGTTCTTTTTTTTTTAAAAAAAAAAAGAAAGAAAATTTAAAATCTATTATAGCTAACTACTCTTATCTAATGCTGTATCAAGTTAACGTATAGAAAAATAAATGATTAATTAGTGAATAATAATTGACTGAGCATACAAACCATCATTCCACATTTCAATCACCTGTTACAGAAATGTCAAATTAGGTCTTCATTCTAGCTTGGTTTAATGACTAAATCCAAATTTACACCATACCTATCTTAAAAATTCAAATATTTCCAAACATTATCTCACAGCCTTTTTTGTCATCTTATGGAATAGAAAACAGGATATTTGCCTTCTTTGCTACAGAAAGGCAAACAGCTGTACCGGTAGTCAAAGTCAACACATAACAGAAATATTTCCATTTTGTAAGATTGCTGCTCAGAGCTTGAGTGACTATATTTTATCATGTTATGGTAAAAGGCCCTAGGCCCCACCCACATCCACGGCATCCTGTCTATGGCTAGAGAATAGAATTTGCCGAATACGGAGATCATCCCTTCTTATAGTTCTTTGTATCTTCAGCCCAGACCACATAGCTAATGCTCTACAATGATGAAAGCACTAACCAAGAAACTATGTGCTGTTCGTACCACGCGCCCTCTCTACTTCCTGTACTATTCTACTACTCAAGATAAAGCCTAAAACAGACAAATATATCACAAAAACTATTTAACAGAGAACTATTTTAAAGTAAGAGAATGGTTGGCTAAGGCCATGACATATTCTTTAAGACCTCTGAAGTAAAGATGTGCACATTTTTGTTGTCTGCGTGTGAGTTCTCTCAGCTTGACGGCAGGAGACTTAAAAAATGACTTTCAAGGGACACTACCAACGGTGGGGGTGTATTTAAATTCTGTACCAAATAAGAGAATGATGTCTTCCGTCCTACCACCTGAACTTGTCCCCTGGCTTTGCCTCGGGTAAAGGAGGACAGGAGAGGGCGGATCTTAAGCAGCTCTAGGGAGGAGCCGGTAGCTGCAGCTCGAGTTTGACAGCCAGCTGCGGAGTTGGTACCCAAGAGAAAAAGAACCCACTAGGTCGCCCACCACCGAAGCTCCCCCGAAGCCCTCTATGACTGCTACGAATCTCTGCTCTTTGGGCTCCCCGCCCATCCCCGGGAGGTCTGGGCCTCTCACCGGCTGCCAAGTTCTCACACAGTCTCAGCGGGACCCTCAGAACGTAAAGCAGTCCCAGCCCCGCCACGAACCAAAACGAGGCCCCAGTCCCCATCAGCCCAGCCCGCAGCCGCTCCCTCCAGCCCAGCGGCGGGCTCCGGGCCGGAGCAAGCGCAGCAGGGGGCGC